AGGTCTGTTCCTTATTTCATATCTGATAACCTGCAATTTTCGATAACTGATAATCTAAATACCCAGGTTTCTGATTTGTTAATTGTGTTACATGATTACAAACCAATCAAATCACGAATTTCAATTAACTACACTTCGTACAAGACGAAAAGGTTTCAATTACAGATTCAAACCAATAAAAACTCAAATTGCTTATGATTCTAGTTTCTTCTAATTCTATTACTAGTTTTTTTCTAATCATTTAATTATTCATAAAGTGAAAAAAGATCATATTGTACAAGGTGCTTGTGAATCCGTTAGTCAAACACAAAAAATTGCTATACATTGTGTTCATGCAATTCGCAAAAAGCTCTATCTCAGACTGACTAGTCATAGTTTGCAATGCAAGATTAAGGTAAGTAAGCAATTTTTAATTATACTAAGCAAAAGGATTCTAGAATGCTTTTATCAACCCAACGCTTTTTATTCATTTAAAAATTTTCTGTTTTGATAGAGAAATCTATATGGATATAAATTTTTTTTTTTTTTTTTTTTTTTGTTAGCTGTTTTATGATAAAAAATAAAATCAATATAAAACTATTTTGTTTAAGCATTAAAGAATTGATCTAATCTAAGTTGGACTTGTTTCTCAGCTTTCTCCTTTTGAACCTTCTCACAAATATGGGATTGCAGCTTGTGCAAGGACTTTATTGTTACTCTACTATCATCGATCCTCTCATCAACAATTCTCAAGGCATCACATAAAATTCTCAATTGTTCTTTTCCGGTTAAAGGTGTTATTACAATTTTATTTTTTTCCTGTTCAATTTCTGTAGCAGCCTGAATCAAGTCTTCATCAGTGAACTGGTGATGTGCTTCTCGTTCTTCTTCAATATTTAATAAATCTTCAACCGGCATTGGATTATGAACACCCAAGGCATCAATTTGCTGCTGAAGTTCCTTTACCTCTAATTCATCATTGGGGTCAACAAGTAAGTTTTCTTCTATGTCTTCGATGCCTTTATCAGAAGGAGAATAATAGGTACTCCATTTTCATCACGGGGGAATATAACTTTTGTGTATAACCAGCAATTCTTAATCATTTTAGAAGATATTTCATTCCAGGTAACCTTGGTCCATTTTATGGTCTGCAATAGTAATACAGATTAGTAAAAATTTTAATTTTAAATCAATTAATATGCTGATATTTGTAATAATAATATTCTGATCTGTTAGAAAATGAAGTTTCTGCTTATTCACATACAGATCAGAATATTATTAATTTACCCTCCCGTAATCTTGATATAGTGATCAGGAAATTAATTATGTAATTTTTTAGGTGTGAAGGTGTGGAGAGATTCATATTTTAATAATAAGGTTATCAGCAATGAATATATTAGTGGGGGAGGAAGAATTACATAATTAATATTGGTATTGTTAGTTGTGATTAAGAGATAGAATTGTTTTGTAGTTTGTGACTACATCAAAAGTGACTAGTTGTCAATTTGACCAATCGATTAATTGATTTATATTATTATCTGCAGTTGGTCAACTTTATATATATCTCTCTTACTAGCTTCATCACGATCAATTGTGCATTGGAGTTGCATGTAGCGATAGTAAAGTTTAAATGATGCAATGATACTAGCATCTATGAGTTGTATTTTTGATGTTACATTTTTGGGCAACATGAGGATTTTTACATTGTTGAGAATAAGAGCACAAGCAATATGCGAGGTGGCATTGTCAAGGATGAGTAAAATGTGACAGTTCGATTCTTTCATTTCTTTATCCAATTTTTTTATCTATTTCTGAAAAAACAGAGTAGTTATCCATACTTTTTTGTTATTGGATAATAGAATCCAAGCTCTTCTCCTGTTTTTTTTTTTGAAACATCTAGGTTTTTTGGAATGCCCAATAATGAAAGGGGGAAGCTTGTGGGTGCCGTTGGCATTGGTTGTAAGTGCAATCATAATTCTTGTACAGTTTTGTTTTGACCCTTCAATTATGGACAGTAAGTATTTAAAATAAAATAGTTTAAGTTTAGCTATCAGCTGTCACAATTATCGATGTTTTAAACTATAATTTAAAACAATTTAAAAAATATTAAAATTATTAACTGTTTTTTTTTTTTTTTTATCATCCCTATCTTCAATTTGGCGAGATGCGATTGTGCAGTTAGGAGCCATAGTATAAAATAAACCCGTCTCGTCTATATTGTAAATATTACAAAGTGAATACTGATTAGTAGTATGAATAATATTAAGAAGGTTTAAGTTAATTGTATCAATATCTGCGGAACCACTTTCACCATGCAATCTAAAGAAATGAAAATTATGTCTTTCTTGAAAAGCTTGTAACCACCTGTTTGAAAACTCAGGCTGGTCATTTTCAGAGATTTTTATAAGGTCAGCTAATTTTTTGGCTTTAGCTTTAATCATGTCACCATTTAAGCATACAGCCCAATCTTCACACTGTAGTATCCAATTTGCCAAAGCAGTATCTAGCTCAGGAAACATAATGACGCAATGTCTTTTAACTCCAAGGTCACTTGAAGACATTTTACTGAACTCATCTTTTCTTTTTAAAATGTCTGAAATTGTGCTTTGGCCTGGGGCTTTTTACTAACTTAAATTTATTTTTGGCCCACTCCGTGAGTTCTTTTTGAGTGATTGTTGGATTTGCAAGGTAATGATCACATATCAATTTTCTTTAATCATTATGCAAGTTTCCAGCTAAGATGACCTTATCTTTACTTTTCCCCATTATAATGATAGGATAAAATTAAAAGTATATACTAGAAGAATTTGGGTTTAGTATTTATGGTGTATTTTTTAGGTTGTATAATTTTAATATTATTGTATTTTTTTTTTTTTTAAGAATAAAGCTTAATGTAATAATGGATCTCTTTTATGTGCAATACTATTGCTTAATAATAGAAATATATACGATTTAGATAATGAAAATGATTAGCAGGCAGAACAAAATTTTTATATTTAAAAGTTTTTTTAACAGTAAAAATTTTAAACACAACTATTATTAACAAGTTTTTTATTTTACTATCCTTAATAAGTTATATTCTAAGCATTTTTTTTTTTTATCAAAATTTCACCATCATTTTTCTTATCTAATCTATTATCATGCGTTACTTTTTTGATTCTTTAAAGTATTTGTGCAATGCAGAAGTATTTTATATATTTTAAAAGCATTGATCTTATTATTCTTTTTCTTGTAAATTAGAACTAATTTTAAATTCAATCATTTTTAAGGTTATTAATATGCCAATGTTTAGGGCCCTACCTGATTTGGTCTTATTATCTTCTTTTTTATTTTAGGTTCTTGACTTTAATTAACTTAAATCTTTAAGATTAGCAAATTGGTAATTACGTTATTCAGGGTCATGGACTGTATAGTGAAATCATTGAAAAGCTGTAAACCCAATAAAAAACAAAAAAGAATAATAGCAAGTAATCAAATTCAATTATTTTAGCAAAAACTACAACCTGATTTTTAATTAGGGAAGCTAGTTATTTTATTAAATAGAGTGTATGTAAATTAGTAAGTGTGATGACCTCTACTAAAGTAATGATTAATTTATCTTAATACCATAGTTTTGGTTAAGGTGTGCATAACATTTACCATATTGATTTTACAAGTTTAAAAACTTGTTTTTTAAGGAATCAATATTCTCACACAAATACTCATTGTGTTAAAAAATTTCAATTAAAATGTCACACAAATTTACAATTTTTGCTCTATCGTGCAAATATAACAATAGTATACATTGTTTGGAAATTTTATCAATACCTACTAGTACTACTGGTAATCTAGAGATCTTCTACATTGATATACAGTATTAGAAAAATAGTATAATACACCTTCTGATCAATACAGCACCATTGAATAAAGCCTTCATGAATTTGTATTATCTAATCAAAAATTTTAGTATACCTGAGCAATAAAAGACTGCATGTGTGCCAGGTTTATGGCGCAGATAAAATTCTTTAAAGTTCATTAATGTCAAGGTTAGTGCTTATAGTAGAATTAAAAATTAATAGTAATATAGTAAAATTGATGAAAACCTTTTTTTATAACACTAAAGATGGTTTTTTATGCAGGTTCTTAGATAATAAGTGACTTTTGACAAAGTGAATATTTGCTTTGAGTTTTCCTGATCGTGTCATATTGCACCTGGTTTTAAAATCCAGGAAAATTTGTACCATAAACCTGACACATATTTCAAACATGTTAAAAGAGCACCTACAAGTAAATTTTCTGAAAATATATTTGAATATACTCATTATATAATCATACATGTGTAGCTAGAAATCTTTAATAAAAAAAGAAAATAAGGTTTGTGTATACTGGGTTCATGGTGCAGATCTTCTGAACTACGAATTAGATTTCAAGATTAGATAAACAGAACCCGATCAAAATAAATATTCATCCTGCAAAAAATCACTCATAACACATAAGAAAACCTTTAGTACACTAACAAAAAAAATCCTCTGAGCGAGTTTCTGTTATAAGCTTACTAATACCTAACTACTATATAATAAATATTAACTCTACCTAATCTTAACAAACTTTAAGAATTTTGTCTACGCCACAAACCTGGTACGTACACATTATTCAAGTGCTAGGATATAGCAATAGCCCAACTTTAAAATTTATATTATATATTTATTTCATAATTTAATTGGTCAATTAGTGATTCGCTAATCATGTAATTTTTTCAAATCTGATAACCTTTTAAAACTGATATAAAGTTTATCTACTACGCGTATCGGTTTTAAGAGGGTCGACTGTACTACTATCATTGGGTTTATATCTTAAGCTATTTTTTTAGATACTACTATAACTTAATCTATATTTTAAGCTATAACCTTTTTAATTAGTTTTCATTACATACCTCCTATCTTTGCAAGATTTACAACAACTCTGATACCCATGTTTCAACTTCTTTCTTTTCTGGATTTCTTATTAGTCTCTCTATTACTTTTAGCTAGCAACCCAGAAAGATTAGTTTGCCCAGGCTTTAGGTGCCTCATAGTCTTCCTTCTCTTAGTATATACTTCTGGAGTATAAGTTCTTTTCCTTCAGTAGTGAGCTAGCAGTTTGGCTAGTATATTTTCTTACTTAAAGATCTAGTTGTTTAGTTCTCCAATCTTAGTTTCCAATTTCAAATTCAGTCTTTCTATAGCACTATCAAAGATCACTACTACTTTCTAACTCAGAACTTCCCAAATAGGTTTCAATTATTGTAGTTTTTTGGCCTTTTATACACTAAAGCTCCTATATAAACATGGTGTTACCAAGATTACAGGTTCTAGAACCTATCTAATTAACTACAATCATCATCATAGTATAAGCTATTTTTCGAAAACATCATCTGTAGGATTTAAACTCTAGACCTGCTGTCTGGGAGTACAACAACTCTATCATTTTATTAAGTTACCACACTCTATTAAATATAATTTATAAAATCTTTTATCTATATAAGCTATATTTTTTTTTTTTACCTTTTCTTTCACTTTTTCAATTTTAACTCTCGTGTACTAAGAAAGCTAAGTTTTAATTTTTTTATTTTAAATCATTTCTATTTAAGAAAATTTTTGCTAAAATAGAAAAGTCAATAGCTTAATTATTATTAATAATAAAAAATTATTTTTTTATACTCTATTACAAGTATTTTTAACTTTATTACTTTTTATATTACTATTATCTTCAACTATAATTTTATTATCACTATCTAGATTATTTTTATTTTTATCTATTTTACTTTACTTATATCTTCTACCCTTAACTTATTTATTTCTAAACTTTCTACATTATAAAAACTATTTTTTATGAAAAACTCAAAAAATTTAATATTTGCCTTTGGTGGTTTTTCTTTATTTACTTTTTTATCTACTATATATTCAAAATTTTCTTACTCTTATCTTTATAATTATATATTGCAAATATATAATTATTCTTGTCTTCTACTTGGTTATTTCTATTATTTCTATTTATAAAATTATATTCTTTCTTATTCACTATTTCAAGTATATCAGTTTTTATTAACTCTATAGTTTAATTTACTTTTGATTCTAAAGCTGACTCAACCTTTAACAATTGTTTAAAGATAATTTTAGCTTTTAGTTTTTTATATTAGCCATGATAAAGTAGGGTGTTATATAAATTATAATTAGTGACAATTCTTCTTCAGCATTCTTCTATTAACTTTAGTCAATTCCAGCCTTTGACTTCTTTGACTTCTTCAAACTTGAGTCTAAATTACTTCTGAACTTGCTTATTTTTATTATTTTTTTATATTCTAGGCTTTTAATTTTATTTTGCTACTGTTTTAGATTTTGCTGAGTAGACTTTTAAAATATTCACTTTCTAGATAGCAGAAATTAGATTTTATAGTTAAATAACTTTAGAAATAAGTTATTTAAGTTTTTAGAGAAAATAGAATTATTTTTTAAGATAAAAAAAGTTGAAGAAATTACTAAAAAGTTTGGTCTTAAAGTGCTTTGAGTTATAAAAATAGCTAATACTAAAGTTTTACTAAAAATGAAAATAGTCAAATTTGGAGATACTTTATAGATAAACTTAGAATATTCATATAAAAATTCATTATTGTTCAGATTAGAGATAGTTGGTTGGAGTTGAAATAGTTACTCTTGGTCTAAGACTTGGTTTGTTATTATATTGATAAGATAGATTAGTTTATTTAAGACTTCAATAGTTTAATTAGTATTTTCATCTATTAGAGGGTTTGTAAGAGTTTTTTTAG